TCACATCACTCTCCCACATATCCTCATCCCCTTTGTGCTTGGAATGCTGCCAAAATGTCCGGCTGTCAAGGTGTAGGTCAAGTCTGCTGCGCTTTGACCTCCGAAATTAAAGGAAACGCTCTCTTCTTTTTGAGAATCCCGCCAGATGAAGAGGTGCCAAACGCTTTGCATCTATTCAAATGTTTGCTGGTAATTTGCCTATGGAGTCTGATGGATTGTGCAGCCAAAGCCAAAGCCAAATCCTGGCGCGTAAGCGAAAAAAGAAATTGTGATTAAAATTGTGTTTTTATGATTCACTGAGGCGTGACTGGGGCTGAGCGCGGCATTAAATTACGGCCTCGACTTTGGCCTCGGCTCTTAGCTCCCGAACGTATAAATTAGCACGCCAAGCGTTGGTGGCAATAAAACGATTTTCGGGGGCATACGTAGCGTATACATTGCGTATACGCAATGCTGGCCAAGCACAAAGGCAGCTCAGACCGAAATTAGGCTACAAAATGACACGCGCCTGATCCGGAAACAGAAGGAGGGAGAGATACTGGCATCACAGACTGTGTGTAAGATGAAACGGAAGGAATTTGTAGAAAGTCGTAAAGCAAAGTAAACACAGGAGGGCGCCAAAGTTATAAAAATGCCAAAATATATATCTCACGTAGAGCGGGCACATTGGAAGGACAGCTGTATGGTCGGTGGACAAACAACTGTTGATAGTTCTTGGTCCTTGGGAGCCAGGAGCTCTGTCAATCTCAGCTGAGCACTGACTAAAACCGAGCCAGCGGAATTCAATGCAAACAAAGGCAGGAGTCAGACCATTCATCCATCCATCCAACCATCAATCAATCAATCAATCAAGCCAGTCAATGTCAGTGCCAAATGTCCAAAATGGAAAGCGACCGATTTGCGCTCTGCCTGGCATTCAACATGCAATTTATGCGAAATGTTGACAGTCATCGCCTGACCTTTTCGTCTTAAATATTTGCCAAAAAGTTCGGCACCAATAGCAAAGTCAAACAAATTGTGTGCAAACAGATTTTAAAGTGGGCTCAAAGGATTTCCAATTGAACATAAATGCCATACATACAAAATGCGCACACGATAAGCTAAAGAATTACAGAGTTCTGAAAAAATCTACTCTCAAATGAAATGCTGGATATACGATGGATATGCTAACAATATTTAAAATTCCTCTTCGCATAAAATATTCATTTTAAATTCTTAAACATCTCTAGCAATTATTCATTCGATTTTTCTCTGGCAACCCATTAAAAATGGTTATCAAAAGTAGAACAATTTGCATTTAATGGGAAAAAGAAGAGGCATCAACGCTGAAATTTTGAAAAGTGCCTCGAAGAACCAGTACTGAAGCTAAATTTCCTTCCTATTAAATTACGATAGCCTAAGCTAAAAGAAAGGAATAAATTGGCCCACGAGGGGGAATAGAAGAAAGGAAATAATGTTAATATTTCATCAAGCATTGATTTCCATTTTATGTTCGAGTAACAACCTTTTTAATGGGTTTACTTGAATCAAGCATAAGACAAGAAAGAAATAAAAAGAAGACAAAAAAACCTTGGTTTAAATGACTAAAGTATTCTTCCAAGAAAGCATTTAAGCAAATTAAAAGACATAAGACTGGCAAGTATTCGTTCTTAAATGTGTTTAAACGTTTAGAACCTATTACACATCAGAGTTTATATATGCCCGCAAATATTTAACTTAGAATGTCCCGTCCATTAAATGTGTTACGTAAGCCAAAAGCCAAACAATTCCCTCAGTCTCCATCGACCCCACAAACGAACCCATAATATTAAAACTTTAGGTTCAACATTCGATTTCGATTGATGGCAAATATTTGTTTAATGCTCACTTATGCTGTTTTTAAATTGAACAAATTCAGTTTCGAGTGAACTTTTTTCCTGCATTTCCAGTTTGTTTGCACTAAAATTGTAATTGTTTGTTGTTGCTTTTGGCATTGATGGCTGTTGTATGTTTGTTGAAAAGAATTTTTTTTCGGTTTGTTGGTTTTTTGTGGGGCAAATAATTGAATTCCGAAAGCAATTACGAGAAATCTGTTTATTTAAGCAACAAATAAGCAGCCTAGGCAGTCAGTCGAGCAGATGGATCAGACAACAGGGGCCTTCTCTTCTTCTCATTATATATATATATATTTATGTATAGATATCCCTCTCTCCATATCTGCGAAGTAGTCTGTGGTTTTTTTTTTGTGAAGCGATTATGGTAATAAAAGGGAAAATTCAGCTTGGCTTCGTTGGGCGTCCTTCGTTTTGAAGAATAAAGGCAGCTTGGTATGCCTGTCACGTAGCCATCTAACATGAATCTGGCTAATACAATTAGAAAAGGAAAAAGACAGGGAAACAGAGAGGTAAAGATAGGGAAGGAGACACATGGAACGACCGCCCTTCAATTGGGTTTCAGCCCTACAAATGTTTCAATTAAAATTCGCTCAAATCAAATGCTCGAAAAAAGCGCGTAACCTTTGAAAGTTCGTTCTCGGCGCAGTCAACGACAGCAAAGGATTTTCACGATGATTGCAGCACAAAAGAAACTCGGAAAAGCCGGAAAAGCACCAATAGTCGCAGTGGCAATCGCAATCGCATGGCCTCGAGCAAATCGAAGATGAACAAAAGAAGCGCCGAACCCAAAGTGGAAAAAATAGGAAGCCAGATTACGGGAAAGCACAAACAAAAGCGAAAGTCTGAGAGGCATTAAGGGTATCTTAATTATTCCCCCAAAACCGAGTCCAACGCCCTAACCCCTTAGTTGCTGTACTTCTGAGAAAAATAATGCTCCAAGAAAATGAGAGACTGAAAGTTCTCGGAAATATAATATCTAAGGGAACGGTGTGTGTGCGTCCAGAAAGAAGTGGAATACTTGTTCAATGCTGTGGCATCTGTGAAGTGTAGCTCTTGATTTATTTCAATCCATATGGAATCTCTTCGATTTCTGGCCACAATGGGTTAAGGCTTAGGGTTGCGTATTTATCATGTAATTCCCCGAATTTTTTTTCCTGTTGAGGGTTTAACGTGCCACAAATGCCAAAGTCAAAGTCAATAGCTGCTCTGTGCCCAAAACAAAAAAAACAAAAAAATTCCGCAAATGGAAATTGGGGCAGGGTTCAGAAGGGCCTACGGTGGCATATCGATGGGGCCACTCGTGTGGGGCGATACATTTCAAGCCTTTACCCAGGGAGGAAGAGGAGGAGCTTCGGCATGCCCCTGGAAGACTATGCGACACGTGCGCGTGGCAGTGGCAGTGGCAGGGCGCCAAAGTCGAATTGATTGCGTGCCAGTTGCGTGCCAGTGGCGCAATTTGGGGGCGGTTCGCAGGCGGATCAAGGGGCGTGTCAGTCGATAACAAATGCCATTTGGCGTATTGTAATTAAAATGACGAAAGCAGGCAACTTTTAATAAACTGCCAAAATAAATACGAAAAGGAGCTCGATTCGAATAAACAAAGGCTGAAAAGTTGTAAGAGGATTGTAAGAGGAAGGAGTCTGAGGTAAAGAGCTGTGTAAGAGACAACATAAGTACTTTGTATTAATAACAGCACCAGGCAGGAGGAACAGAGGTAATGGAAAAGCTCTGTGCCATCCTCAAATAAGTGGAAATGAAACTCGAGTGGCCCGAAAGGGAAAACAGAAGCAGAAACAGAAACAGAGCCCCCAGCAGAAAAAGATCCCAAAGCCAGGAGCAAAACTCAGACAGCATAATTTTTCATTATGCCGCGAAGAACAAACTGTTTACATTTGTTGTACTTCAGCAAAGACAGAATCCCCCGCAAAGGAAGACAGCCACAGCCGCTGGCAAGGCAACAAGCTCATTTCGCCTGGAGCTCCCCTATCAACCCCACTTCAAGGCTGAATCTGTTGCCTGTTTGCAGGTGCGGCTCATTAAATCATTCGGTAATCAGAGCTGAAGCCCCAAAATGCTTCACGGTTAACCTTTCGACTGAGATTGTTTCGACTACCATACACTACCGGAGACGGCATTGTTATCGATCAGAATAAACAGCCGCTTGGCGGTCGGAGATATATCAGTAAGGGTAGCTAAGCCTTCGGTCCCCGACAATGTCCGTCCATTCTTGCTACCTTTTGTTCCTCCTCCGCGAGTGTCAATCACAGTTGGCTTAATTAACATTGTTGAGCACAGCAGTGTGAAGCAGAACAGAGCCATACAGAGATTTCCAGCATAAATTCAAATCAGTCTGGAAACTTTTCAGGGGTGTCCCATAAAAAAGTTGAGGCCAACTAAACATTGCATACACTACCCGTACAAAGCAGGAATAACGATGGGGTTGGAGTTGAAGTTGGAGTGGTAATGCCATTTGGTTTAGCCATAACAATAATCATTTTGGATAATTTACGACTGCACTTGGCAGCTCTGCCGTTCAATGGCCATAAATTCTCATCAATAAATCAAATGTAAAGCTTTTCCTCGTCCAATGTGAGGGCGCCGCGATGTATGCAACGTTTTTTCTTCGTTCCCTGTTGTGACAGCCAGTGCAGATGTATGTGTGTGTTTGTGTGTAAGTGTTAGTGTGTGGCAAGTGACATGTGTCACTCCATAATAATCGCATTTGCATGGATCCCAAACGATTGCAAAACTGCCATGAATAACCAAACAGGAACTTGGACAGAGAGCTCTTTAGGTGCTGGAGGGGGTAAGATCTTAGACCTAATCACGTCCTGGGCGTCGTTTGTGGTTGTGGGACACAACGGGGGCTTACTGCTAGATACGATTAAGTATACGCATAGTTGATTGCTTTGTCTCTGGGACGCGCTGATAATACTTACAGGTTTCCATTTTGCTTTCGATTTTTTTAGGGGAAGGAAGGAGGGACTCGGGATTGCTTTGTTTTCGAGTGAGAGATCGAGATCGAGATGGTGTTGTAGGAACCCAGTTAGTGGCTTAGAGCAGCTCCGTTTCCATTTGGGCAGCCTCGACGGTCTCCACAATGGTGACCGTAGGCGCCGTGACCGAATCTCATGGAACATAGCGCGTGGTCAGTGCTCCGTCGTCGTCATCATCCACGCGGAGGCCGCCACAGCCGCAGCCGTAGCAGCACGGCAGCCAGCTGTCTCCGCTGTAGCCGCCTTTTGGTCAAATCGCAGAGACCTGCTCGAGCTCGGCACTGGAGCGACCCGAGTTCATCACGACCACATTTTTGGACGCATAGTCGGTGATGAAGCGGTCGCTGTTCCGCGGATGGATGTTGCCTACGTCCTGGGCACAGCACCAGGGATTACGCATGGTCAGGATACGCTTGAAGGCGTCCCGGAATTCCTTGTTGAAGATCGAGTAGATGATCGGGTTGAATGCCGAGTTCGAGTAGCCCAGCCAGGTGAGGATCTTGAAGGTCTGTCCGCCGATGCAGGTCTTGCAGAAGGCGGCCGTGATGTTCACGCAGAAGAAGGGCACCCAGCAGATGAGGAACACGCCCATGATGACGCCAACAGTCACCGCCGCCTTGTGGTCCGAGACGTGGTACGGAGAGCTGTGGTGCAGGTTTCGCACCTTGAACTTCTTGGGCGTCATCTTGGGGCGTCGAATGCTCTTGTAACGCTGTTTCTCGGCCACCTCGCCAGGTCGGGTCACTGCCTTGATGGATTTGACATGCTTCTGGGCATAGCAATACAAGCTGAAAGACAAACAGAGAGAGAGAGAGAGAGGGATAGAAAGAGACAAGGAAATGACAATTATTTGTCACTTAATAAATGTATTTTGCTTGTGGGCGTATCCGACAAATGATTGCTCAACTACTGGCTAGTTTGTTACTGGATAGTAGTTACTGTTTCATGTAATTGATATGATAATTATTCACTTGGGCCACTTGCCACGTCAACTACTTCACAATAGCCAAGGGAAACACACTGCGTATACGCAATGTACGACTATCATATCCAATCTTCCACTCCAGCTGCTCTCAATGAGGCCCTACTCCCACTCCTACTCCCACTATAGTGCTGCTGGGCAGCAAATAAACAAGCATATGTGTCTGTCAAAGTATCTGTCAGAGTGTCCGTCAGAGTGTGTGTCCGAGGGCGAGTGTTTAGTTGGATGCATCCCCTCACATAAAAAGGATAACACGACCAGGCACAAATTATGACGATAAAAGTATATTTATTCTGTAATTTAACCGAAATTTGATAGAAAATTCCAATGCCCAACCAGCAAGGGATCCATTTGATGAAACGGAGCGGAGTCCACTCCCACTCCCACTACCGCCTATTGGCTGCAAATCTCGTTAAGCTAAAATGGCAACGTGCCGCTGGCCGTAACGTTGATGAGCAGCCATGCGGCCATATCGCCGTCCTGTTGCTACTTCTAAATATTTGTGTGTGTGTGTCCTTGTCCTAGTCCTTTTCCACACGCCCAAGTCTTTTGCCTGCTCTGCCGGGGCGGGCAATGGTCTGGGGGTCAGCCTGGGGATTACTTAGACGGACACTAATGCGTGCGCTTATTTGCTCAACCCCAAGAACCAGGACCCATACTCAGACCCATACCGCCCAAAACCCCTTGCCACAGCCCCCAGCCAACAACCAACAAAACCTCTCGTGCCTGGCGGCCATCAGGGGAGCGCGCATTCTCCTTGTGGCATTTTTCTGATATATTCAGCATTGCGATAGCAGCAAACTTCCTCCGTTTTTACAACATTTTATTATATACTTTTACTACTTCTGGCTCGACTTCCTCTTTGTGTTTTTGGCATAGCTGGAAAATATTTGAGTTCTCGTTTTGTTACCATTTGAAAGCCAAAAACTTTCTACAGCTCCGGATTACAGAAGTACCGGAGGTATCTGTATCTGTCTATCTGTGTATCTCCATAATTGCAGCTGAAGGCGTCGGGAATGAAAACGGGTTTCTTTATGCATTTCATGTTTTATGCAGAACCCGAAAGTTTGCCCCAAGTCTGAATCTGAAACCCCATCAGATAACTGAATCGCATTTGACTTACCGACAGTAGATGCCAATCATGACCACACAGGGCAAGTAGAAACTGATACAGCTGGAGACGACGGCATAGGTGGGCGTGAGGTCCAGGGCGCATGTGGGATACTTCTTGCCATTATCCTCGAAAATCATAGGCTGGTCGGGCCGATGGATGCCCAGGGAGATTGGCACAAACGAGACGAATGCGGCCAGCAGCCAAATGGCGGCGATGGTAATGACCGCCACGCGCCGTGTCACCCAGCGGCCATATCTGTGAAAGAGTACAAAATAAATGCGACTCGGTGAGAAAAGGGTTGCACCAATTGGGAACAACGGAAGCGGAAATACACGCGCCATGCTTGCTTCTGCTCCATCATATGGTGATGGTGCTGCTGAATGCTGCCACTGCCGCAGCCGCTGGCTCTTGTCTTTTTGTCCTTTTGTCCTTGTGGTCTTCTGCAAAGGGTAAATAACACACAAAGAGGGAGAGCACCAGGAGTAAGACCAGGAGCAGGAGCAGGACCAGGACCAGAAATATCAGCAGCAGCAGTAACATCAGAGGCGGGACAGAAAACAACAGAAACACGGTGCCATGTTGTGATTGTGGCTTTGCATGTCGCCGGCATTACCTCAGCGCCCGGCAGTGGCAGTGGCAGTGGCCATTAGACACAACAACACAACATCATTTTCGGGGCTGGGCGCGACAAGTGTGTGGGGCCGGCCGGCCCCAGATCAGGGATCAGGATCAGGTGTGTAGCAGCGCTGCATGTCATTAATTACCCAGCAAGCCCGTGCGACAAATCGACCTAACCCGAAACCAAACCGCAGCCACATATCCCACACAGACCCTGCCACATGGCGCATGCAAATCAGCCTCGTTTGGCTACCTTTTTTCAAGCACTTCGATTTAGCCCCTGCAGCAGGAAATGAGCAGGCTGAATTAGGGTATCAAAAGCCCTCAGCCCACAGCCCAGACCCAAAAACCGAAACCCAAATACCCCACAAGACTGAGTGGGAGCCACAACAGCGGTGGCATATGCCGCATCATTCTGGCTTGTGCAGGAAATCAAACAGAATAATTCAATTTCAATACAAAGACGCACTCAGACGATACGATGCCGATGACGAGGATGAGGACGAGGGCACGGACGACGACAGAGCGGAAACGGAAGTTTATGTAATTGTATTCACATACAAATTCAATTTCGTTTTCGGCACGAAAATTGATTTCCATGTGACGAAAGCCCCTAGCTCTTGGGGCCCAATCTCTCCACCTGTCAGGCTCCCGCACTCTCTATCAAAGTTTCCCAATCGTATTTCTTTCCTGCTTCTCCTGCCTGCACTAATTCGGCTGCTTCGAGTTTGAGGTAACGCTTTGATATATGCACATGCTCGTAAAGCTGCACCCATTAGGCGACACACGATTGCCTGCCTGCCATCGTGGAGCAGCCAATCAGCGTCGAAGCATCGATGGGCTAATTGAAATCGTGTGTGAGAGTTCAAATATTGTGTGTACCAGGTGCAGGCTGTCTCAGGCCAAAGGACATTTGCATTAAACGCTCGAGCTTTGGCTGTGGCTGTGGCTGTGCCTCTGGTTCTGGCTCTGGCTATGACTCTGGCTTCACCGGCTTCGTCGGTGGCATGCGGCGGCGGCTTTGTGTGTGTTGCCCCACATGCACTCAAGAAATTACCGCAAAGCACGCAGAATGATCCTGCCCCACAGTCTCCTGCTGCTTCTAACGGTTGGGTGTTGGTTGGGGGACATTTGCATAGTTTGGGCTGATTCTTTTACAACGTCAGCTTGTCGGGGATTGTTTGCTTTTGCTTTTGTTTTCAACATGGGAAATATGACTCCTTACTGTCATTGCTGGCACTCACATCAGGTACTATGGAGCAAAAGGTCCAGGAAGTGGGAAATGAATTCCAAAACCACTTTCATGGGACAAAAATTAAATATAGCTTGTAAAATATACCCTCTCTCTTATCTGAAATCTCAAAAGTGTCTTTCCCACCGCAATTCAGTTGTCATTCCGCAATCAACTTTCAATCATCTTTCTCAATCGTTCCATTCCTATCTGTGGACCTATCTTGTAGATTCCTAAGAGCATCTTTTTGCCGACCAAAGCCGAGACAACCCTAAAAAAAACAATTACAAAATGTTCCCAAGTGCGTCATTCTAGGTGGGACAGGTTTTTGTGGTGTGTGTTTAAGTGCTGCGCCTCCGGGGGCTGTCCCCAGCCCACCCACAGCACTACGCCATCTCCATTAACCCACAGCACCATCCTTCTCAATTTCCACCCACACCTTTGTGTGGGGGGAGCTCCAGCACAGAATATCCCCTTTCCTGCGGCAAAGTTTCATTGTTCTTTCACTTTTTATTGCAGTTTAAAATGAATTTCACATATGCGTCTGACAGTTACGATGATGACAGGCGCCAAAGTCAACGACAACCAAGTTTGGGGAACGACAACGACAACGACAACGGTGGCATCAACTTGTCCCATAAAATACAAAATTTTCCCATTTCGTTATTCTACATTCTTGGGATGAGAATGAGAGGCCAGCCGCTTCATCTTCTCTTTTGCAGGGCCTGCTACTAATTAAATTTGCACGCGCTCCTCATCCAAATTGTTTTTTGCGAAATCCAGGCGAGCGCAATTAAATTAAACGCCTGCAATTATTCTAAAACGCTAAGAAAATATACAGAATCAGCAGTTCTTTCTGGTTGCGAATGGGATGGGGATGGGTCTTGGATGGATGTGCTCTAATGAGACTGAACTTTGCTAGAAGGCACAGCCGAGCAATGTGGGGGGCACAAAGAAATGCGTTGCTGCCTCCACTTTGACATGCAAATAAATCAGATTTGCATAAAGAGCAGGATGGCGAAGAGAGGAGATCTGGGGAGCGGAGTACTGCTCTAAGGATAGCAACATTAATGCTAGACACATCCCAGAGAACCCAGCCACCATTTCTCAGACACAAAAGGTGGCGACTGTGCACTGCGCTGCGTTGAGTTTTCCTGCAATTTACCAGCCAGCTGACGGCACCTCTGCCAGTGTTGGGGTTCGGGTCTGCTCCTTCAGATTGAGTGGTGCGAGCGACGTCTTGACATTTGAAGTGTAAAGCATCTCGGCGCTCACCCAATCTTGGGGGAGTCCTAAGGGCTTTAGCATAGCGGCGCACGGTTGGAAGGCGAGAATGCAAACGAATTCAGGTGGCCAAACTCAATTTCAAATCGCTGTCGGGACTTGCCCAGCGGGCACTGTTCTCTGAGTGGCTCTGCAAATGTCATTAACCCAGAGGCTCAAATTAATATTGGACTATAGAAAGCAGGCTCAATCAGTGTCTAAATGGTAATCTTTTGGAAAGCTGTAAATAGATTAAATCAAAGGCGAAAGCTCTTTAAATCTAATAATGGCAGCCACTCTTTGATGTTCAATTTGTAATAGTTTGATTGATACTGATTTCATTATTCTAAAGGATAATCCACCAAATGAATAAGTACATATGTGTTCTATACCTCCTTATATAGATTACCATATGGAGAGACCTCCACCATCAACTAAGATCTATCAACCACATCCTGCACTGCACCCATCATTAATCAATCGATAATTTCACTTTCCATTCCATTCAGCCAGCCAGCCATCCATCCATCCAAACAACCAGCTACCTCTCTATCCTTCTATGTCTGATTATCCTCGAGGACAAGCGGAATTCGAAATCAGGAAAAATGTTGCATGAAAATTGTCATTTGCTTGCCCCAGTCAGTCGCCTCAGTCAGTCGTCAGTCGCTCCGCCAGAGCTCATTTAAATCCTTTGCCGGGGCATACAAAATTTTCAATCTGAATTTTTAGACCCGCTCTGGCATCAGCTTGCCACATCAATGAAGCGTTATATGCTTCTCAACTCGTTACGGGAACCGGGCCATACAAAAGACCAACAGAGTAGAGAGATATGTACACTCGTCTATAGAGTGGGGCAGGACCAGAGGCGGCGGCGGAGGCAGAGATGGATGCTCTCACACCAATACAACTGTCGTTCAGCATTTTTCATAAACGAATAAGCTACCCCAGGTGGCAACAAGCAAGGGTCGTAGTCGTAGTGTGGCAGACTGCTGGGGGGGTTTGGAGATGGAAAAAAAATATTTTTCTACTTTTGGCTTTTGGCTGAAAATAGCATCAAAGGATTTATTATGGCTCTTTTATGGCGGGGTTCGTGGGCTAGTGCTGCGGTATGGGTCCCGGGGTTGGCAACTGTCTCGATTTGCTGTAGTTGCCCCCAGCCCCTTTTTGCACCCCCAAACAGCTTGCCCCATACTGGTGCACAGCGCTCTACAATCATTTCGTTAGGTTTCTCCCACTGGGCTCACGGTCTGGCTCTGTGCTCAGTGGCAGGCTGTCAGCAACTTGACCAACATCATTTTTAACATAGCCCACAGAACACACACATCCACAGATAGAAGTACATACAGATACACACATCTACAGATGTGCTTTCACCCACACATGGAGAGAATCCGCTCTGTTGCTGCCGACACATCATAAATTTTTGCGTTTGACTTTGCCAGAAACTGCAATATTTCTGTTCCGATTCCTGTGGTCCTTCAAATTTCTGTTGGCTTAAACTTTTGGCCAGGCCCTGGTCGGAGCCATTGTTGAAAATTTAATTAACACACAATTGTTGTGGTCCAGCCTAATATAGAAGCATGTAGAGTTTTGAGAACAGCAGGGAGACGCCTGATAAACTTGTTTCAAGTTCTCATGGGGGCCGACTGCTTTTGTTGGAATGGCTTGGCTTTGGAAATCAATTTCAAATGCTGACTACAAAGCATACTAACATGGCTGACTGGCAGGTTTTTAGGACTCGACAGCAGGACAAGCAGGACAAGCAGGACCGGCAGGCAGGCTCATTGTCATTGTCATAGTCGGAGGCGCACTCACAGAGAGAGAGAGAGACACAAAATGGCAGCCACCTGAGGCAGCAGAATTTGATTGTCTCTTAGACTGCCTACTGTTCCTCTACCTCCTGCTCCTTCTCGTTCTCCTCTTGGCAGGAGAGGACAGAACAGGATAGGACTGAGCCGCACAGCTGGAGAGACGTGCCGGATATATGTACACAAGCTAGATTGAACAGTGATAATGGAACATCACATTTGGGCAACCTTTATCCACCTGATAGATGAAGTCATTTCGATCGGGTGTGACAAATGTGAAATGTAGGCAAGAGTAAATAAAGCTAAACGAAATTTTAAAGATACACTTGGCTAAGTTTAAGGCTTGATAGGGGATATGGAGTAGAACCTGAAAGAATACCTTACCTTTTTCCCCATTAATCAACGTTTTCTTGAGCCATTTTCAGCAGTTCTCTTTCTCAACAAGTGACCAGCTGCTAATGAAAGCTCTTTTGTTATCCTTCGATTTGGTTCAGTCACATGACTTGCAGGAAACGATTCCCTTGCAAACCATCCTTCAAAAAAAAGGAAGCCAAAACCACAGCAGAAATTCTACCACACCTAAAATGCTCTGGCAACTTCATCTTCAATAAAGTCCCGCCCAGAGAAGCGAAAAACATTCCTCGTAATGCCCAATAAATCTGTTACTAATGAAACAATTATGTGGAGCGATTAATGGGCCACACTGCCATAAACAACTCGAGTGGCAGAGGCGGAAAAATAGAGAGAGAATGAAGCAGTGGCACGAGTGGCACGAAAACGTGACAAGCATGACAACGCGGCGTATGAGTAATGTGCATACAAAGCACCTGCAATGGCGCCTGGCTTTGGGGCTGACATTAATGAATCGATATAGACGAGCGCGGCTGTCAGTGGGACATCAATGAGGGGACTTTTCACCTGTCCGTACCAGTAGCAGGGCTCGGGGAGTACAATTAGTTTTTATCGCTCGGTTGGTATGGATGGAATAATGTATGCATGTGACAGGGAGATGAGGACAGCTGACATCACTCACCTGAGCGGATCCTTGATGTGGATGTAGCGGTCCATTGATATAGCGCACAGGTTCAGAATTGACGCCGTCGAGCACATGACATCAAAGGCCACCCAAGTATCACAAAATTGCGCTCCAAAGATCCAATATCCTGCAGGAGATATATCGAAAAGGAAAAAACAAATAGAGAGGGGGAAAGTTAAATGACTGTTTGATTGACCTGACTGTCTGATTTGTTCTTTAAAATGCTTAATAAGTACTTGGCTATGGGTCTGGCAATGGTTCTGGGTCGGGGTTTGGGGCATCTGTGTCTGTGTGTGCTGCGGAAATTGCCATGTTGCGGCCGTCGCACGATTCATTTGCTTGCTGCCGTGCAACAAGCCCAATAACAACCACCATAAACGATGGCTACCATCGGAAACCGAAACCTTTAATACCCTCCATACGATCTATCGTTTTTTTGCTAGCTTTTAAGTAATCCAATTTTCTGTATTTTGGAGCTACAACTTTAAATGTTCGAAAATGCTTTCCCTTTACAGCGAAAAAATCAGATAATAATCATAGTGACCCTTGCATAGAGGATAAGCCCAGCAGAAGCTGAAACAGGGACCAGCAGCAACATGGCAGCGACTGAAAATGGTGTCCCAGCCATCAGATTCTTGTTTCATTTATTCATGACGTAAACTGAGTTTAAATGATTTCATAAATTCATTTCCGTTTACTCTGCTACCCTTTTCCTTTTCCTTTCATACCACACACACACACATGCACACATATCCCGCTGTCCTTTGCGCCATTTAAATTTAATTTGGTCAAAAGTAAAAACAAATATTTTGTATTTTATTTGTGTGCTGGGCAATTTTATAAGTGTGCTGCAATTATGGAGAGACTCGATTGATGTATGGTGCGTGACCAGAAGCGGATGTCCTTTGGCGGGCCCAGGGAAGAAGGCAATGCCACACGGAAATAAATTACACACAGATACAGAGCACACACACGAGTGCGGTCTGTGTGTGAGTGTGGAATTCAATAACAGATTTTGATACACAAAAAGGTTATTTATTTGCGGTATGGCTTTTGCATGATGATTCGATAAGAAAACGCACATCATGCTGGCAAACGGTACGGCTTTCATGCCGTTCAATCAGGCGTGCCACAGGATATGGCTCTTAAGTGCCACAGGATGTGCCGACGCAACTGGTCAAATCAGATCGCATCCCATCCCATCTGACCCTCCTCACGTTTCTCCCGTGGAACATCAAAAGTTATCCTGTCAAGTCAGTCATAATGACATTCAGTTTTCAATGCTTCAAATATTGATTTAAACATGGGAATAAAATACAAAAAATGTTGCTGGCAAATGCAAACTGGTAGCTAGCCAAAGGAGCACATTGCTTCTAGGAATATTTTCGAATGGTTGGAGCGGTTCTACATTCTGTAGAGCGATGCCAAAACATATTTCATCTGTCAATGCCCTGTCGATGGTCTTATTTCATGACTCTATTTGGTTATCAAAAACATTGCATAGGATTTGCAAATGGATTCCATTAAACATCGCATTTGCACTACCCAACTTTGGCCCTAGCTCGGGTGCACCAATACCCCGCTCACGAAAGCAGCTTTGGCACAAAAATATGCACAGCATTTTCCTTCATGCTTAGGGCCCCAGAAGAAAGCTATGCAAGGGGAGAAAGAGAAGAAGAAATATCTCTCGGGGAAGCCCAGGGATCTGTACAAGTCAGCAAATAATTCCCACAGCTTTCAATACTTGAATGCACACACACATGCCAATTGCTTATGGCCAAAAAATGTGTTATATGTTTCTCTGTGGCACCATCTGTCAGTTCTCTTAACGTGTCTGTATCTGAATTTGAGAAGAAGACTGGGACTGGGACTAGGACTGGGATTGGAAGTGGGTCTGATTCCGGGTCTGTGTTCGAGTCTCTTGTTGTTTGAATTTGTCCAATTGCGTATGCTGTTTATTTGCTGATTTGCCTGTCCTGAAGCGTGCTAAATGTTGCCTTGGCGAACATAATTTCACTCCGTAAGGGTGTGTATCGGTGTGTGGGTGTGGAAGATGCCTCAGGAGGCATCTGTTTGTCTTGAGAGCAGCTGAGCATTTTTATTTATTTTTTCACACTTATGCTTACGCGGCAGGCTTCTCCCCTCCACTCCTCTCAGTCGAGTGGCTAAGTCGTTTATTATTTTCACACACTCCCAGGAAAACCCCTGGCAAGCGCTGTGCCTGGTTTGGCATTGGGTGTGGGCCCGACATACATGTGTCACCTCAACGCATCGCAACGCATTTCACTCCCGGCTTTTGCTCACATTTTCCAACTCATATCACGAGCTCACATTCGGCTTCTTCCTTTGTTTGTGGGGGACGCTCCTCCACTTTTTTCCAGTGTTTGCGCGAGTCCCTACACATTGATGTCAGCTGCATGTTTCCTGAACCGGAACACGTTGTTAGCTCTCTCCCCGGCTGCTTCGAATCCCTATTCTTCTCATGGGAAAAGTTTTGCCGGCTCTCAAAGCCGCCGTTCGCCTAATTTGCCTCTTATTTACTTAGCCAATGTTCGCGCTGCCGCCACTCGTCAAGACCTCCCAGGATTCAGGACACAGCCAGTGCCATCCCCGTTGTGGAATTAATAAAATGCACTCATAAACGGCACCCGGAATGAGGCTGGGACTGGTGCTCCTCCCTCCCCTCCATTGGCATCCGGCTCGGCAAAAACTTGCAGCTGCAAAACTTTGTCAGCGTCAACGCTGAGAGGATACGAAGGAAGGGCTTCCATGGCGACGGAGCAAGGACTGCAATGGCTCTCTCGGAATGGCTAATGGAAAATAATCAGAATGTGTGGTTGCACTTGGGATCTGCATGTTAGTCTCCGCATCAGACATGCAGCTGGAATAAAATGAAATTCCTGTATGGCTCACTATAACCATTTATGCAACGGAGGTTGCGAGAGGGTGAGATGAAGAGTTTATACGGAAGTTGATCGGAAACTAGAGCTATCACTTAAGTAGATGTCCAAAGAACTATCTCGAATGAAATCTCCTCTATTCCTATATCCTCAAGCCATAGAACATTCTATTCATAGGTATATTTTCAAACTTCTCCCCATTCTTCTTTCAAGACCAGAGGCAACCCTCGCTTATGTATATCATGCCACCCACCTTCCACGGAAGTTTTCGAAAATCACAATGGACCACTCGGCGTTCGTACTGAGTGTCCTCGGCGTACCCGCTGTACTCTGGGTAGTCGTGCGGCGACTCCTCATGCAGCTGACACTTTAAAAGGCATTGACAAAGCCACATAAAATCCGGCTTTAAGCGCTGCCAGGCATGTCAAATGGGCCTCCAACACGAGTGGAGGAGGGAGGCACTCCTTCGTCGACTCGTTTCGACACTCTTCGGTTCCTCTCGAGGGGCGGACCTCAGCGTTTTTGCGCTGAAACAGCCTGCAGCATTTTACATAAATTTCCGCGATGGCAACAAAAAAATTTCAATTGCAATTTTCCATTACCCACACAGAGATACGGATAAAGGCTCAATAAAGGGAGATGCTATTGGTGATGGAGGTGGGATGATGTTTGCACAAAAAAGTGTTCATTTGTACTCACCCAGCAAATCGTTGACGCCTGCGAATGTCATCACCAGGGAGGCCACAAACAGATCCGCAATCGCTAATGAGGCCAGGAACAGGTTGCCGATGCGTCGCAGGCTGCGCTCCGTGTAGATGGCCAGGCAGACGAGAATGTTCCCGGCCACGGAGAGGAATATCAGCACCGATAGGAAGATGCCTGCGGTGATTCCGAGAAACATATTTGTACACCCATAATAGCATCATATCCAGATGATGGCCATAAGCGCCGAACAATGATCAGACAAAGCATTCTTATGGGATGGGACACCTGATGTGTGCTATGTGCTGGATGTGGCTGTGCCATTGATGGTGTGTTTGCCGCATGCAACATGCAATTCTACAGATACTTGTAATTGCTAGGATTGTGGAGAGTAGAGTGTGTATGCGTATATAAATGTGGTATGGCTGATGAAGGGTCTTGTGGCTGTGTTTTTTTTTTTTTTTTTTTTTTTTTTTTTTTTTTTTTTTTTTTTGTTGTTGTGTGACTACAGGAAAGCTTCATGCCGACTCAGCCGAAGCCGAAGTGAGGGACTCTAACCGCTCTAAAACCAACCACACCTATCCCGGATCCCGACATTTACTTTACATTACATTTACATTTACATTTTCAACGACATTTACTTTACCAACAACAACAATTGACACAAGGGACAGCGGCTCCGGTTCCTCACCAACTATTGTATCCATTTCGGAGGCGTTTGTCCAGCTGCTCTCATTGTAGAACGATGTCAGCTGCAACGAAATGAAGAGAACGGAAACGAGTGTTGTTAAGACAGTTTCCCAGTTAGTTCTAAACTTTGTTCTAGTACTCCAACATCTTTGATGTTCAAACTAATTAAATTTTGTAAAAGGTTTTTGGCAAAAATAATTAGAGTTTTCTTTGCTTTCATTATGCTTTGCCTGCGAGTGGCATGCGTGTGGCATGCGTGTGGCATGCGGGTCTTGGCTGTGGTATCTGGAGCCAGGGCTGCCGCAAAGAACCATCAATCATCTGTGGCATCTGTGGTAGGACCCGACGAGGCCAACGTCTCTGGCATTATTCATAATTAAAATTGACAAAATTTCAAGAAAATTGTTGAGGGCGGCTCTAATGAAATTAATTTGTTTGGCTAAGCGTTGCCCCATCCTATCTCTTCATATCGCTATCCCTCTGGCATCTGTCTGTCTGTCTGCGGCAACTTTGAGTGCGAATTTGTCTTGCGGTTTCTTCAGTCGTTAGTGTGTGTCTCTCTCAATCTGTTTGTGTGTGTGGCAGACATGTTGGCATTCTGGTGGTTGCCTTTGCTGTGGACCCACCATCACCCACTATCCCCAGGCTGTGGCACGCACTCACACACTCACACAAACACAATTGAGCAGTGTAAATTAATTTATTAATTAATATATACTCGCACAGCCAGGCACATGCCCGTTCTCGTACTCGTATGAGTGCGGGAAATGCAATTACTGCGAGAGTGGAAGTTGTAGCCGGGATCTGGCTGGGTGCCCGAAAAAGGATTCAGAGTGCCTGCCCTGCAGCTGGCTTTGGCCTTTTTCCGCGTACTCCTGCCACAGGAAAGTAATAATAACAATAACAATAATTATAATAATGAAAGCAATAATAAAATGCTCAAAAGCAGACCTGAAAACCGCTGACAAATGCAATTAATTAATTCAAACATTAAACTGCCGACGCAGAATAAACATTTTCCCTACTACCGTGGATGTTAGGCGTGTCGGCCAGCACCTGCCCCACTCTTCAGCCGCATTTCAGTTCATTTCCGTCCGGAGCTTCGCTTTCCATCGATATAACTTTATTTAATTACATTTTTTCAACGGTGTATGCATTTATCCCATAAGCGGCTTATTAACTTTAAAGTTGCTAATTGTCTGAAATGGAAACTGAAGTTTAATGAGCTCCAAAATGCTGTGGCTGTGCGCATTTGTGCGCCACAAATGGAGCTCTCTTTTGGCGTGGGACACATGACGTATGTGAAATTTAGCGAAAAACTTTTGCGAACATGCAACTGATTAGCCAACAGATTGTAGATTTCTGGTGAAGATCATTCTCATTATTGTTATGGCTTGTTTATAAAGACAAATGGGTTCGAATGAAGCATTTTTTTGAATGTTCCACATTGCGAATACGCAATGCAGTGAATGCAAGTAATTTTACTGTGAACTTCTGACTTGACTTCTGAATGCGCCTCCCCATGGTATTTGATCTATAATTTACATAATTTGAAAAGGAAAGGTAAGCAAACCATCTTCCATTGGCCGATTGCCTGCTGCTCCAAAGACATCAAGGTAATTGCATGAATATTTAACCAGATCCCAGAAACCACATTAAAATTGTGTTCCGTCTTGGCCCCAGAAGTGCGTTTATTACTTCACAGCTCGGCCAGAGCGAGTAATATTGATTGGGAAAGGGCTTTAGATGGAGGCTAACTTTGCATAGATGGTCGCCCCCGAGGCACTCGCTGATTGGGTTAAGGATTACGTGTAATGGACCATGAATTAACAATAAATAAAATTAATTGCCACTGCACATTACGACCGCCCGGCGGCGACGGACAATAAAAGACACTTAAGATTATAAAAATTACATGAAATGTTTTCGCGTGTCAAGTGAATTTTCATTAAACTTTCCAGCTGCTGCGACTGCTTCTCCCGCACAGATTTTGTAAAGCCGCCAAACATTACCCAGATGTTAATGGGGATGTTGTTCATGTTGATGTTTCTTTCGGTGGCATCATTAAAAAGCAGTTAACTGCTCGCAAGTAGCAGGAGTCAGGGACTGGGGCACCGTGAGTCAGCCATCTTAAGGAAGAGCCTACAGCACTCATAATGTATTGCCAATGGAAGTTAAACGTGACCATTTGCTAAGAAAATAACCATAAGTTCTTATGAATTATTTGATTTACTCAAAGCTAACGTGACAGTCAATAAAAGTGGGTTGGGGCGATGTTATTCAACCTTCAAATGTAAGTATGTTTAATGTGACCACGCCTTATCCTTTGGTCTTTGGTAACCATCTTCTATGAGCTGCACTCTCTTATAGTCCATATCTTGGTCCTGCATTATCCCATAGTCCTTTTGCTTAGCCTCCATTCTCTCAATGTACTTTTCTTGCCAGTTTAAGAACAATAATCCACAATTAAGTGACTTACATGGAAGAAAGCGCTGAGAGAAAGCGTAAAGCAGGCATCTGCCAAGTGAGTGCGAAAATAATTTAAAGCAGAAGTTAGAGGAAACCAGCAACTGTGACAGCAGCTGCTGCATTTAATTGCCAATAAAAGTGGACAACAAATGTATCTGGAAAACTGTTTGTGGCTGAAGGCCGCGTCGTGTAAACACAAAGCAAAAAAGGGAACGTAGCAGGAATAGCAGGAGGGAAAGGAGGCAAAAGCGGACACGGGCCGCACTTAGTCGCTTTGGCTCTGTTTGCAGAGTTAAATGGCACAATGCGTTGATTAAACGTCAACACACACACACACACACACAAACAGTTGCACACCCACTCGCACACTTAGGTGTATCTAACAACAAATACAGATACACAGACAGCTGTAGGCTGGGAACAATAATAAGGCTCGAAACGGCACAAGGGAACACAGACCTGTTGGAAAAACAACTACAGAGCACGAAACAAAGTCCAGCAGCGAGAGACGTGGCAGTAGATACCCTTATAAAGATCTCATTCTTATGGTAGCCATATGAAATGGTCTTCCGATTTGGGTTAAATAATAGAGAAGAGACACAGGCAAGAAAACATTAACTGGCATCAGAGTAGATTCCATTTTTCCAATGCAAGCATCGTAGTACCCCTTGCAAGGGTATAAAAAGGTAAAGTGACTGCCCTGCCTCCCAACCCGTGTACGGACAGCAATCGGCCAGAGTCCTGTGGCTCTTCCTAGTCTGTGTGTCTGTCTGTCTGGCTGTCCAGGAAGTAGTGTGATTTACAAGGAGCAGCTCAACAGAACAGAACAGAACAGGCACAATAATAAGCGAACAGCACAAAAGGAGGACACAGGACTGAGTCCACAGTTCTAGAGTTCCACACTTTACAGTGTCATTCGAGAACTTCCGCCGTAGAAGCAGAAGAATAACCAACCATATGGCAAAAGGCATAGTTTTGTTCGTTGAATGTTATAAACCATAAACTCTAACAAAAGCTGGAGAAAATGGAATTCCCATGAGCGGAAAGTTAAGTTTTAGAATGCACCATAATAAATTTCCCATTTTCCAGCACTTTGAACTTTTCGCACAGTATTCTCCACCAAAAACCTGAACCGCTTGAGCATGAGTTTAAGAGCCAGACAGAATTTTGTGGTCGGTGCTCCATGGTGCTCGACCTGGTGCTCCCTGATTAGCATACATTTAAATTCTCATAATAAACAAGAGAAATTTTGCAGAATGAGGGTCTCCCCCGTACTCTTTGAGGTAGAAAGGATAATAGCCGCGCCTAGACAGCTGATTTATGTGTTGAGAAAATATTTATTGTTTGCTTTAAGGAACTTTCTCAGAGAACCTCAAGTTCTGGTGGGTTTAGGTGTAAAGCAGTGGATGCCTCGTTATCCAAAAATGCAAAAAAAAAACAAAGCTGCCAAGGTGTGGCATTCGGCACTCACTTGAGCAGATGCTAACTGCACCAACAAATTGCGAAAGCCTTTCTTCAGTCTGTATATCTCGCCTTGGAGCCATTGTCAGAGCTGTCAATGTCCATTGACAATTGCAGGGGGGGGGCTCTGTCAGGAGTTCCTCAAGCAGACAGCAGTCAGTCCTTGGCTCTAACCCCTCTACTCCCCTTCGGGCCCCGTCTACGCCTGTCAGCCAACATTGCTACTTGTTCTCAGTGTGCAAGTGTTTGTGTGAGTTCATTGTTTGAATTTCGGCTTAATTAAACAAAGCTGAAAAGTCAAGAAGCTGCCGGAGTGGGGAGCGGAACCCACATGTGTCTCTGGCTGTCAAATTTGCCAAAACTATAATAATAATTGAAGCCCAAGCATCTATGAACATTCCAGCAGGGGCTTGTGAGTGGAGGAGGGCTAAAGGATGGGCAGCAGCTCGTCCCTTAATTATGAGTGAACTAATTAGATTCATATCGTCCTAAGCTGATGGATAACAAGTTTTTCTTCCCTCCAGCGGGGATTCACACTTGCGGTGAGCGACCAGACCTTGGACCTCAAGCTCATGTCGAATTTTTCCCCATATAAATAATTAAAATAGCCCAGAGCTGGACGAATGGTGCTTCGTCTGTGGAAAAATCTGATTAAAATTTCATTATATTTCGGTCGTTTGCAACAAACCAGGAAAGCACGTTTCGTAGGGTAGTACATTTAGGGGTAAGTACCTGGATGTATAGTGATTGAATTAAGCTGTGATCTAAAACTCGTTTTATCATTTTGGAAGCACTGTAGTGAGTATGTGGCTTGGGATCTGTAAAGTGACCACACCCCATCTTGAGACTGCACATCATCCAAACACTACAGGAGCATAAGTCTGCACAGCTATGCTAATTAACCCCTTCCCATCTCATCATACGTGTTTGAAGGTACTGTTTCCCGAGTGGGCAAAACAAATGTTTTGGTTGTGTTTACCCCGTCGCTGCTCTATTGCCTGCCGATTTTCACAGGGGATCCAGGTCGTGATGCCAATGAGGTCTGTTTGTGTTGGCTGCTAGCCTTTAGATTGCCTTGCTGATTGGCCTCGGGGCAGATTGTCAACGACAGGATAATTAGCTGCAACAGGAGATGACTGTCTGGCGGTATGCTGGGGCGACTGCTGCTTCCGATGTGTATCTATTGCCACTCTTAAGCTGATTGTATAAGCAGCATCCCCCTTCTCAATCACTCACTCGCCCACTGACACTCAATCGCTATCTCCCTCTCCGCTGCACTGTGCATCGATTTTATTTTTCTTTGGATTTCCTTCAACATTTTCCGGATTTGCACTGAATTTGAGTGGAAAACTTGCCAAGTGAACGTCAGTCAGTCACTCGTTGGTGCTCCTTTTGTCAGTGCTACGACTGTGAGTGCGTGTATGTGTGTGTGTGTGTGCTTAAAACAAACATCCCGTTAACCCGCACAAGTGTCGTCGTCACTACACAAGAATTCACACCCACACACTCAGAGGAAAGGAAATACAGACTCGCACACTTATGGAGTGGAAATACACGGATGCATCTGCACTTGTCTTTATTGAAGGCGGAGAGCGAGAATGGGAATGCCAATGGATAAAAGAATGATAGGGGAAACTCTATCATATGGATTTTTGTCTAGCCGTGTCAATATGCTCAACAATTGCTCAACCTCCGCAATCCATGAAATTGCAAAAGGCATCTACAAAATGCAATAAGATTTCTCGCACATATTTATTATATACTATCTTATAAAAATCATCGCAACAATATTCATATTCGATTCCCCCTCAATTGCCTAGATCTTCTTTCACAATTTTGACATGAAATTCAATAAGCAACAATGCCATTTCTTATGTCGTTTAAGTAGTATTAGATATAGTGCACTTTCTAGTCCCCAAACCAGACCTAATTGCCTATAATTTCGAAACGCTTGATATAATACTCCGATTACCACTGAGAGCTTAACTTAACGTTGCTAAGTCTTCCCGCACAGCCAATCCACTCTTTGACCTGGCAGCCATACAAATCAGATCTATTAGGAATATTGTATTATTCGCAATAACTTAGAAATGTCGCTGCACGCCCGACATACAGATGATTGACATGTATATGGTATGACATGGCCATGGCCCTGTTAAATTGACTTGTAACCGTTTGCACTCCGGTGTCATTGTCGGAGTCATCGATGCCAAAGACTTTGCTTGTGGCCCCAACAAACAGACCCACACACATACATACGGAAAACCATAAAAAACGGCAGCAAAAAAGGGCAAAAACACACTCGTATAGGCAAGGTTTATGGTCAATAAGGATAGGGCCTTTTTGGGCTGGCGGAATCCTTTTGACTGTCCCATTGAAAATCCTTAGCCCCATTTACCTGGTCCTAAAAAAGGGAAGAGGTGAATGAAATGTAGACAGCATAAAAATCAGGAATATCCTACTACTTTCATTTACCTTTTCCTGCAGAAGGGCGAGTTATGACAGAAAGGGACGGGGCATTGCAATTAAACGGCAACACCTAGACAAACACATTGTGGCTCTTGTGGCCAAGATTAATGTGGAATGGCACGGGCAACGGTCTGTCCTCAGCAGCTGCATCTCCCTCTCTTGATGGTAGGGTCCAGGGCGGTATGTGTGTCTGTGTTTATGCGGTTTCTATATATCCGTGACCCGATTCATGGAGCACACAGCATTTTTGCTCATTTATTTTGTGGCCAGCCTCGTGATTATGGCAGGCGCTGTCACACACATTTAATTAGGCAAAATTGCTGACATTTATCTCTCTCCAGTTTTCTTTTAGTCCATTTCGTAGTCTGTGATTCCCGCAAGTCTCATTGAAACTCCCCAAAGTATTCAAGAGATATTTTTCTGTGGTTAGCAAAAAATTAAGCTACGAAATGTGGCTGAGGGATATTTATGGCTCACAAATTCAACAAAATGTTGTTCAGAGTTGGCAAAAGCTGAGCGATTTATGATTGGAGTAGTTAGGAAACATTTTTGAAGCGAGATCTTCAGCATTTTAATTAAATGTTTGGCTAGGATCTCCTCTACATTCCATTCCTCTCTCAAAGTTGCAAAGTTACAAGCCTAGAAACACACACTGAAACTGCGTTTGTGGCAACTTTATCCTTGATGTTGTTGAAGCATAGCATACAGCACATAAATTACTGGTTAGACCCTCTGGTAAACAATTACAGTTGCGGCCTGATAGCCCCCATTTCAATTGGCTATCGATACCCATTTCGGTACGCCCCTTCACGACCCAATGCTCAATGATTTCGACAAATGGCTGGCGGAAATTTGCACAAATTCCAAAGGATTTGCCACAACAATGGAGGCGCTTGTTGAATGGAAAGAGAGAGACGGGAGAGAGAAAGTGGGAGTGGGAGTGGGAGAGCGAGAAAATTCAATATCAAATAATGCTATTAATATTTTATTATTATTACTATGCAAAGCTCGCGAACAATTCCCAAAGCCAAAGTTTTTCCATGCGACGGTTTACGGGCAATAGAAAATGCGGAATTCAATCCAAGAACACACACAATGGCTACAATGGAGGGTCTGGAGAGCGGGACTGGGCGGGACGGGGGGAAAGCATAATACTATTTTTCCATACTCGTATAAGCAATTTCTGTGTGGATGCAAAAGATTCGCCGAGAGCAGATTAATAATTCAATTAGATGGCAAAACGCGGCGTATGCGTGATGCATTATGCAAATGCCTTGCAGAGGCACAAGAAACGCGGCAGACGTTGGCAATTTGGTGGCTGACACATGACGAGGACAAATGTCAGTGTCACCAATTGAGAGCAAGCTCGGGGAATCGCACGAGGTATTAGATATAAGGTGAAACTATCATTCATCCTCTCTGGGGAATGGAAATGGAAGTTGGAAAGCCAAAGCCAACTACTGGCAATTAGATCAACTAGATTGATGGGCACAGAGTGACCCAATTGAGTGACGAACATCAACCATATTATCGTTGGCTGAATCAAGTGGCTGCGCCCTATCTGCTGTTCCCCAGCAACAGTTTATAAATTAGTTAAAAATCTATTTATGTGGAAAATGTGCGTGGCATAAACATGATGCTAACGTGGCCTCTGTGGCAGGCTGTTCTTAGACGGATGAGTATCCCATCCCCAGGGAGTCGCCTCGTTTGCCAACTTACGTGATACTCATTATTTACATTCGATTGAAAGTTAAACGTGCGAACAGATGAGCAGAACTTTGTCGTTCGTTTCGGCACAACATGTATTTAGATTTCTATATCTGTGAGCGTGCAAGTATACGCGTGTGTGTGCTGCTCGTATCCTTTACTGCTGCCACGTCAAGCACGTAAATTGCTCGTTTTCGCCCCAAAAAAAAAAAAGGATAAACTTTGGTTCCGTATATACATCCTTGCCTTCCACTGAGCGAACGGAGGAGGAGTTCCTTTGGCTCCCCGCTTTTGAAAACTGGATTATGCATCGATGAAGGTGCACGCTTCTCTGTGTGCCTGTTTGCCTGTATGCGGGAGTATCTGTGTGTTTGGTAGGGGAAAACGAAAAGTTTCACATGTGCTAGGGCTGCTAATGAGACTCGCATTCATTTTCATTTAGCAGCTGGCTGGCTAGAAGTGAAATAAATTAAAAGCAAGGAGTGGGACCGAGCGAAAGGAGGAACTTTTGCTGAAACCTTTTGTCGTGATTTATACATTTTATTAAATAATATAAATGCACGTTTGATGTGTGATAATTGTGTAGCACAGCTATGTCTCTTCATTGCCATAAACTTTGCTCCCCATAGAGTGGGTTATTCCACGAAGGATTTATCGCTATCCGCCTCCTGTTGCTCCCTGCCTGTCATCGCTTTTTCCTTTTGTCTTGACAAATCATCAAAGGGCATCTGGGCTCAGAGGTTAGTGAAAATATTGATTGCGTATACGCACCATAAACCAGAACAAGGGAAACCACACAAAAACTATACGACAATGTTCGGCGAAATATGCGCGCACGTAATAAAAAGGAAATGTTCATAAAAGTTCATGTCCGATGCCTCGCCCTACCCATACAATTCGCCTCTACACCCTCCTGATCGGAGAGAAAGAGAGAGAGACATTGTAAGTTATAGTAGCAATACCTGAACCAGAAGCAGAATTTTTTTTACGAGCCTCGCAACAGACATAAATCCCAAAGAGGGGCCGGAGTCGGAGTGAAAACCCAATGAATGCTTCGATGGCAGCCATATGAAAACTGAATAACGAATACCCATAACCCCCTGACCTTCCCCTGCAGTCGGAATCACTCACCGTTGTGCCATCATAGCCATTTGTGAGCAGTTGAATGTCGATTTCAATGTCCATGTCCACCTTAGCGGTTGTCAACTGCAGCGGCAGGTGATCGGCCTCCAGCAGCGTGCCGTTCCGACTGCTGCTGCTACTGTTGCTGATGGCCATGCCGATGCTGCTGCTGATGGAGCCGGCGGCGGTGGTGGTGCTGCTGGTGGTCAGGAAAGGACTGCTGTGGTTGCTCCTGCCGCTAGCCGCAGAGGCAGCCACTGCCGCTGCCCCGGCCGCTGTCAGAGCGAATGCTGCAATAGCACTCATTGCATTTGTCATTTGGATGGCGGGTGGGGTTAGGATTAGGACGGGGAAGGAGGTGGGGTTCTGGTCTGGTCTGGTCTGCTCTGATCTGGTCTGGTAAAGGGTGGCAGGTCCTCTGCGGTTCGTTCGCTTTGTGCCTCAGTTACAGGATTGACGGCAGTAAAAGCCCGATGGCCGGATACGGCAATGCAGTTGCAGCATTTCGCTAATAGACTTTGATTGAGATGCAATTTGTCCACTGTTTTCCAGATCTTCACTTGGTATTCGTTTTGAATTTTCCTGCCTGTTTGTTCTGTTTATTCATAGCTGCAGCAGCCGCCAGAGGCCCACAGGCGATGGACGCACTGCACTGAACTCGGGCTCGACCGGAAATTGACCAAGTCCGTGCATCAATCAGACAAATTACTAAAATGGAAGTCAATTCAGGGGCCAGGCCGCACCACTCCTTGAATGATTAATTGCCCGATGTCCGACTTTTTGCACTTCCCAGCCACACGCATACGCACTGGCACTCGCACACTAGGAGGCAACGCGCGCCCGACAAGAATTCTCGATCGGCACAGACACAGACAGTGACACCGACACAGACGCCGAAAGAGAAACCGACACACACCTTCTGGCACTTGGATATGGTAGGGCGGCTCCTGGCGGGCTATGCTTCAGCTTCAGCTGCTGTTTCTGCTGCCGCGTGCCGAACCGTGCGAACTGAAGTCTGAACGTCGACTGTCCGGACACGCACGACTGGCCGTGCCGGAGCAGAGACGAGCGTCGGGCCAATGTGTCTCCTTGGCCAGTGCCGCCAAGTATCCAACAACTTTCGAATCGTTTTCATACGCGACTGAATGCCAGAAGGCCAGAAGGGGAGCCGCAGTCAGAGCCGGAATCGGAGCCGGAGCCGACAATTTTCATTCAACAGGATGTGCCATAACACAGGCGAAATATCTGCGCCGCGCATCCATGAGAGAGCTTTGTTCCATAGAGAGAGTGAGAGAGGGAGAGAGAGAGCACCGAGCGGGAGGGAGAGTAAACTGGGGTAAGAGCGCAACAATCACCTGTTGTGCCATAGAAGCGTTTTAGGCGCGACTTCTCTGCGTTTTCTTGTGCGCGACTTTGGTGCGATTTCGCAGTGCGACTTTCTGCACACTTTCTGGGCGCGACTTTTATACAGGGCGCGACTTTTATACAGTGCGCGGCTTTTGAGCATTGCTTGCGCCTTGCGATTTGCGATTGGCGACCGGGTGCCTCCATTAGGTCTCATTAGCAGACGACAGCCGCAACCGCATCCAAATGGGCGACAATTTCCAGCTTTTGACAAATTGCCGCTGGCACAGAGCCACAAGTCGAGGAGGCAATCTTTCAATTTTAATGTAAAAAACTAGGCTAGCGTTTATTTTGGCACTGGATTCATATAAGCTATTCACTAATCTTCTGGGGAAACCCCTCAGAACCACATCACCGTATGCAGCCATTCGATGTGCCTGGCCAGATCCGTGTAGATCACGGGCTGCGAGAGGTCGCAACGATTGCTGAGCCGCTGTCCGGCGGAGACGACTCCGCGCAGCAGCCATATGTCCGACTCCTGGAGCATCAGCCCACCTCCAGAGTCCCCATTGCAGGGACCGGCTCCCTCCCGATTACTGGCACAAATGGTGCGTGAGGTGACGAAGCGCACATTCTCGGATGTGAGATTCCCCCGGCACTCCGGCTGCGTGATGATGTCCGTGTCCGTCATCTTCGCGATCCGAGAATTCCTGTTGCCCCGCTCATCCTCTCCCCAGCCGGCCACATACGACTTGTGGCCCGATGGAAGGTCGAGCAAATAGTTATCATTCCACAGGCAGATGGGTCGGATATAGTCGCCGATACTGAAATATATATTGTTAAGATTACGCTTAAAGGATCTGTCTTGCAACACTTACTCCACTGGCTCTGAAAGCCTGAGCGCCGCCAGATCCGCGTCCGTATAGATACTGGGGTTGTACTGCTCGTGGATGACAAGCTCGGCTACTGCTCGCCGGGCTCCCACTCCTGGCGTCAGCAGGTCCAGGGTGGTGCGTCCCAGCGACACGGCCGTGCGAGAGGCGGGCAGATTGCGGGTGCCGAAGCGGAAGCAATGGGCCGCCGAGAGCACGGTAAGAGCTGAGATAAGGGTGCCACCGCATAAAAAGTTGTATTCGTTGCCCACCCGCTCGAACAGGGCCACCATCCAGGGCAGCTGTCCCCGCTCCACCACCTGCCCGAAGTGGATGAGCGGCGTACTGACGGGCTTTTCCCTGCCACAGACTCCGTTCAACTGTCCCAGGGTCTGGGGCCTGTTTCCTGATGGTCGTTGTCGAGATGCTGATGGTGCTGTGGGTCGCTGTGTGGTGGTTGCAGTCGGTTCTGGGATAAATTGTGGTGCTGGCGTTGGTCCTGGACGTGGTCGGAATGGTTCTTGGTGCTGTTGGGGTTGAGGCTGAGGCTGAGGTTGGGGTCGTATTCTCACTGGTTCCTCCGGCTGTTGAGCCTGTTGAGGGTATTGCGGGTATTGCGGCTGCTGTGGCTGTTGCGGCTGTTGTGAAAATTGTGGCCGCCGAGGCCTTTGTTCTGGTTCTTGTGGCAGGATATTCAGCAAAGGCGCTGTGGAACGCAGGGTGTGTGATAGCGAAAGTTTCGTACTAGGAGGACCATCTGCATCGGTATCAATAAACGAATCAGATGAAGACATAGATGGAAAGATGGTTCCCCACTTACATGACATTGAACGGCAAAACACCTGGCCGTTGAGGGAGATCATGGTTAGTTTTGGAACAACACCTGGCGTGGGGAAGTCTACGCGATAGTTGATGGGTTCATTGTGTTGCAGACGATACCTAACCGATTCCTCATTCTCCAGAAGATTAAGGTCCCCGGGGTAGCTCTGAAAGAGATGCAAAGAAAGCGCGTCATAATTTTTCTGCTCTCGTATAGATGTCGTCAACAGTTGTAATCGACGTGAGATCCCCCATCTTCGTAAACATAACTCAACTGGTAAAACCAAACATCCAAAACAGCACCAGCGACAGCACAGCAGCTGAGGCTCGGGCGAACTTAATACTAGTCTGTAGTAAAAACCGGTCGCACAACTTTGTTCCATACCGGAGAGAACAGATCAGAACGGAACGACACGGAACGGAAGAAAATCAAGTGACAGCACTGGGGGGTTTCCCCACAGGCCTTATCAGGCATGCAATTCCCATGAAAATCTACTACAACATTGAGTTCGCAATTGTGATAGGGGAAAATCACGCTCCCATCTGAGAGTAAGGTCAATGCATGATAAGAGAGCACACAAAACAACAGCTGGAAAGGGAAAACTTACAGAGGTATGTCGACCTGGCTGGGAAAGCTCTATACGGAGTGTATTTTCGACAATGGAGGAATCCAATTTCAGGCTTATGTGCCCGATATGCTCCTGGTTATAGGCCAAGTACTCAAACAGCTCTGGGCAGGCAATGTACGGTAGGTTTTGTCCCCAGTTAAGAGAGATCTGAAGCAGAGCCAGCAGAAGACCTAGTTGTAGCGAACACATAACTTATACGATCCAATAAATATTTATAAGGAAAGAAATAAATAATGTAACTGCGAAAGTCGCGCACAAAACGCGAGGTCACAAGTCGTACCGATACCGAAACCGCACTCAATGAGAGTCGAGCGATGAATGATTTGTGTGTATAGTTAGGGGCACGATCTAGCTGAACGATCTGGCGGAATAGATCGATAATGAGATTCGATTGGAGCTAATATTCAGCCCCACACAGAGCTTGTTGGCGTTCTCTCTCTCTCTCTCTCTCCGTTTATGTCGTAAGCCCCTTGGATGGGGCCACTTGATTTTACGAGTACTCTATCTTAAAGGTTTTGTGGATTTCCAACATGATGAATGAGGAAATCAACTGTATAATCCTCACAGAGGAGTTTCCATTTAATTTTAGAATTTAGAATCTTCCTATAAATGCCACTAGCTATCAAATAATTAAGCCAAGATTTAGAATCTGTACAAGGAACTTGCTATAGATGCCACTAGCTATCAAAGAATCCAGCCAGAACAGTTCCCAGCAACTGTAGCTCCCAAAAATATGCCTTTATATGAATTCCCTATGAAATTTACCAGCAAAAAGAGGGTTGTAGTGTACACACATTTCGTGGTTTTGTTTCTTTATTTCACTTTATGATTAATGGTTGATAGACTTGAATTACCCGTTGCGTAGATGCGAGTTTAAATTCAATAAATCAAGCTACGGTTCTGCTTGGGTCTTCCAACAATTTGTCACTTCTCAGTTAATTGTCATTGCATTCACAAAAGGCAGGAAAAATTAATAATTTGGCTTCGATTTCAGTTCTTTTCGGATCAGTTCCACATGTTCCTGCGCACCCAGTCGATGTGCTTGGCCACGTCCGTGAAAACGGAAGGCTTGGACACGTCGCAGGTGTTCTCCTTAGTATTCCTTATGCCGCCGGAGATGACGCCGCGCAGTAACCAGACATCGTCCTCCCTAAGCATCAGAGGACCACCGCCATCACTGCCACAGGGACCGGCACCCACCTTCTTGGCGCACAGGGTGCTCGGCTGGACGAGGATATGGGGCAGCTCTAGGGTGCAGTTCGAGTCGGACACAATGCTGAGGTCAGTCACCTTGGCTACGTCCGTGTTTCCATTGCCCTCCCCATCCGCACCCCAGCCTGCCACATATGACCTGACTCCCTCCGGCAGATCCATGCGGTTGCTCGTGCTCCAAAGACAAATGGGTACGATGTAGTCGCTGAAGCTGCAAGAAGGAGTGGAGTTAGTGGATCAGTGGAATCTCTGAGTAGAATTTACCACAAGGTGAACTCACCTGACGGGCTCATCCAGCCTGACCAGCGCCAGATCCGCCTCCGTGTACTGCTTAATCTGGTAGTTCTCGTGGATGAGCAGCTGGGAGGCTCCTCGGAACTCACCATCCGTTAAAATGTCCAGGCTGCTGCGCCCCAGAGAGATGGCCGTGCGACTGGCCGGCAGATCACGGTTTGGCTGCCGGAAACAGTGAGCCGCCGTCAGCACAGTGGAGGCGGATATAAGAGTGCCTCCACAGAAGAAGATAGGGCCGTTACTCTCGCGACGTTCAAAGAGTCCCACCAGCCAGGGCAGCTGCCCGCGCTCCAATCGCGTGCCCTGGAAGATCAACGGCGTGGTCACGGTCCTCTCACGGCCGCAAACAATGTTGTTGGAGGAGGTTTGCGGAGGAGTCCTGGGCCAACTATTCGCGGGTGCACTCTGTGTTATGGTCTGCGTGCTGACCCTGTCCTGTTCACGATTAACGGTCGGCCGCTGAGTGCTGTTCTGTTCGCGGGCCCAGAATTCTTCGTAGTTGAAACCACTCTGAGGTTCAATTGCAGGCAGTACTGGAGATGAAGGCCGTACTGGAGATGGGGTTCGGATTGGTGGACGAGCTGATGGCCGTAGCTGGGGCCAGACTTGCTGGACTGCATCTACAGCACGAACCGTGCTGCGCCCAATAGAAGAAGACAGCGGGGAGATTGAGGTGGTGACTGTGTGCGACAGCCGTATGGCTGTTCTCGGTGGAGGATCTGAAAGAGCCATTTACTTTACGTATAAGAATTACTTTCCTAGCATCACAGGTAGATCCTTACTCACATTGATTATTACCGCAGAGCTCCACATCGTCCACCCTGATGCTGGTGACCTTGGGCGGCTGGCTGGGAATGGGAAAGTCCACACGATACTGGATCGGCCAGCCCAGACGGAGATTAGTCTTGACCGTCTCATCATCAGTCACTATGGCAACGTTGCCCACGAATTCCTAAATGAAGAGAAAGAGAATGTCATGATTTCGTTCTCTTTCGGATCTTGTTTACAACAGTATTGACATTGCTTTGTGTTTGCAAAGCCAATATTAACTGCCAATGAAAGGGGGAAAACACAACCGCAAACGCATTAAATGATAAGAGAATGAGAAGAAGAGAAGTAAATGCCACTGAATAAAGTTGGGGCTAAGCCCGAGATCAGGGATGACATCCTACCCAGTTATAGAATCCGGACTGCGAGAACTCCAGGAAGAGCGTGTGATTGTTCACCACCGGATTGTGACGCACTGTGACCAGGCCAATGTACTGTCTGTTATATCCCTGGTACTCGAAAAACTGCGAGCAGCCATTCGCGGGCAGCTGTGCAAGGCTCGGGCCGAGGCACATCGTCATGATAATTCCAGACACCAGCAGGAGCTTCCCCATTTCAGCTGTAATCGTTACTTATTTGTCTTACTCTGCGATCTACTCGACCACAATCGAACCTCACTCAATGAACGCTGGCTAGCAAATGATCTGTGCCTATTTCATCTCCAACGATCTAGGAGAGCCCCACTTTTCTAGGTGTACTTTGAGTACAAATACTCAAAGCTACAATCTATTACGCTCTACTCTGAGTCTGGGTCTGAGTTGGAACCGCATTGTAGATGGGAATTATGCAAGCGCGTGGAATTCCTTTACGATTTTCCAATGATAAATTCATCGAGATCTGCGGGAGGTAGGTTTGGGAAATAATCTATTCCAATTTTGGGAAACCTTTAAAAGGCTTGCCTTTCGTTGATATGCGATATTTATTTGCTGCTCTTAACATAGTATTTGCTTAATATTATCCTACTTATATTTGGCAAAGAAGTCTACTAATTAACTGTCCAACTCATTCTGTTACTGTCTCTGGGGATACTGTATTCCCGTACTGTTCGATGATGTCCTGCAGCTCACTCTCCACTTTGAGTCTCTGCCCGGCGTATTCCTGCAATGTTTCCGACAAGCACTGATTACTCTCCTCAATTAAAACCAGCAAATGTTCGGCCATATCCCGAAATCTGTCAAGCTGCACAGGCACCTCTATGAGACCCTTGAGAGCTTTTCTTACGGCATTGCGGCACTCGTCCCCAACAACTTGACAATTTACCGTAGCTTGGATCAAGACATCGGTTGAGTTTTGGGCGATCTCAAGTGTCTCCTGCAATTCAAGGTTAAATCGAGTATGGGCCCAGATGAATCCCTCTTGGCAGGCGTGCAGGCGGAGGCCGTAGCGTGTGTTGAGACCCTGGGTGATGTTCTTGGCCTTAGAGGTGCCCGTACCCGCACCCTCTGTAGATTCCCTCACACTTGACACTAGGATTGCGGCCCAGAGCTTCCACTCTTCCGCTGTCTGCAGCTCCCACTGATCGTTGTTCGCCTGCTGCCCTCTGATTCTCTCCAGGCTAGCCTCCAGGTCGAGGATGACAGCATTCAGTTCGGTTAGCATCCCCGTTGCATCCTGCAAAGCCTGGCTCCTGTATGTATTGCGCTCCTTTTGGAGAAAGGACTGCAATTCACCCAGTGCATTGCCTAAACTCTCAACAAAGCTGGCAATCAACTCTGTGATGGCAATTTGCACCTTATTAGCCAGATTTATGGCCACGAAACCAGCCCGTTGAATAACCTCATTGGAAGAGGTGTGCAGATTGTTCCAGATCTCTTCGGAAGTAGCTCGACTGCTCATCTCATTGCGGATGATCTCCTCTACTTGTCTTCCCAACTCAGACATATCCTGCCATTGATCAGCACGCGGATCCCTGCCACAGATGCCGCCATAACTGGCACAGAGAGCGGCCAGCCACAGCAACGAACTGCTCCACTTCATCGCTCCAACAGTCTGACCAGAGGTTTAGTATTGCCCAGTTCTTATATAGATCGATTACCTCAAGGCATACATCACTCTTTCTCAAATATTTGATCAACTGCAGTATATCAACGAGCAGTGCAAGACAGCACGTGGTCAGAAGATAAATATTCAGATAATAGAAAGAAATGCGATTCCCTACAACACATTCAAAGAGGATAACCATTTTTTTGCATACATATTTTTTTCAAGATAACGTCTGAGTTAGTTCAGAGCTGTCGTATCCCTTAGTAGATTAGACAATCGATGAAAATACTGATTGAGAGCCATCAACAGGTGATCTGTCTAGTCCCGCATGAGCACGAGTTACAACCGCAGCATCCAGGTTCCATTCTCTGCCAGGATATTAGTAATGCTGTACTGTGTCACCTCCACCACTGGTGCCTGTGTGCACCTAGTGCGTTGCGTTGGTAAAGGAATATTCCCTCAACCACTCTTACAATGGTCTCAGTGATCTTCATCGAGAAATACGTTGGTGAAGTATTTAAAAAGTCATCTGTAAAGACACGTTCCGGCAGTCTGTTGGATAGTGTCCATAGAAAGATGAGAAGTAGCACCGAGTCACTCCACTGCATGATGGCAAGTGCGACTACGGATGGATGGATTAGTTTACCCAGTGCTCAGTGGCGCTGAACACTGAACAACCGTGCCGCATAAACAGTGTGAGAGTAAGGGACGGATCGAAAACTCGTTCTGCCAGCTGATTGGATTACTTAATACTTAATATTCCCAAACACAAATAGTCTGTCTGACAGCGAAAAGAAGCTTATGCGACTCGGTAAACGGGTTTGACCAGAGGTACCAAAATATTGGATTGTGTTGTGTCTTAGGGTTTATTAATCTATGGTATACAAATCTCACGCTTCTTTGCAGGTTCAACTTAGGTTCTCGTTGATCCAAGTGAGATGCTTGGACAGGTCGCAGTAGAGCACATACTGGCTGAGCTGGCACCGTCCGGAGGTTCCACGTTCGCCCAGCGAGACTATGCCGCGCAGCACCCAGTGGGTGTCCCGCCGGATCATCAGGCCTCCGCCCGAGTCACCAAGGCATGGCCCGGATCCGTCCCGGTTACCGGCGCAGAGCGTGCGCTCTGTGACAGCCGACGCCTTCCAGGTGCTGATGCAGTCCGTGGCACTGGCTATCTCGGCTTCGACAACCCGCGGATATTGGGTCTTGGAGTTGCCAAACTCGTCCGTGCCCCAGCCCGCTATGAAGCCGGATTTGGTGACCGTTTCACTCTCCTTCTCTGTCCACAAGCAGATCGGGCCAATGATGTCATTAAATCTGGAAGACGAAATAAGATATCAGAGATCAAGTCGAAAGAATATCACAATGAGCATACGTTACGGGCCGCTGCATGGTGACCAGAGCAATGTCTGCATCGGAGACCACTCGTGTGGAGAACTCTGGATGCCACAGCAATCGCCTCACATCATGCATCTCGGCCCCGTCCTCGTTGTAGTCGTCCAGATCGTAGCGGCCCACTCCAATCAGCACGCGATCCTCCTGCATCTTGTACACGCAGTGGGCGGCCGTGATCACCATGCTGGCCGAGATCAGGGAGCCGCCGCACTTGAAGGCCAGGGACAGGGACTCCTTGTGGTAGATCGCCGATAGCCAAGGATACTGCCCCCTCGGGAACTCCTTTCCGCGGTGTATGAAGGGCGAGAGCCTGCCCTCGCGACCGCACTCAACCGGCGTCGAGGCGGGCTGGGGATTGAATCGATTGGGGGCGCGGGTCGGCGATGGAGCTCTGACGGTGGTGGTTACTTGTGGTGGTACTGGCGGCTGCCAGAAAACAGTCGTTGCAGGAGGTGCTGGAGTGGCTCGTGGACGTTGTGGTGGAGCACGTGCAGGTGCAGGTGCAGGAGCTGGAGTCTGCCATGTTTGGGGCCAGTCGGGAGACACAGCGCCTCCGGACGATACCGATGTCCAGGAGGGAAACGAAGTTTGGGTGGGCGTGCCGTAGAATAGGGTATTCACCTCCAACCCAGACTGTTCCCTGGGGAACAGACCAAACACAGACGAGGGATCAAGCGGCCGCAGCGGCCGGTGCGACTGTCCACTGACGTGAATCTCGTAAAAGCGATTGAAGAAGCTGTTGGGGGGCCCATCTAAAAAGCAATGAACGTGAGTCATACTCGTTCTGTCTGATCCAACCACCAGTGTGCTGAATACTCACATTCGCTGGCCGAACAAAGCAGAAGATCGTTGTAGGAGAGGCGAGACAGCTTGGGCAGTAGACGGGTGGAGGGGTCCGGCCGGAGACTAATCCGAAATTTCGCGGGTCCACCAGTCGAGCGGACAGCCTCCTCATCTGGATAGGGCCGCAGAGTGCCAACGGAAGAGGGCTGTGGAATGCGAAGGAGGCAAAGCAATCAGTCGGTGTTTCAGCTGGAGACGGCTATAGCAATCCACCATACATCTTGATCCCCCCGCTGGGTGAGGCGGACGTCGATGCGGTTGCGGCCCCGCATCACGCTCGGGAGGGTCACCTCCCCCTGGAGGCCTTCGAAGCCATCGTTCACGTACTGGAAGTAGTCGGAGCACGCGTTCTCCGGCAGAAGCTGACACCTGGCCAACGCTATTAACGACACAATTATGGCTAATTTCAGCCCCATACCTTTCCAGAATATATCGACTTCAGTTCGACTTGGATCCGTTTTCCCCACTGCGCACGCGACAAGCGTCGATGGATAAATAAAACAGCCCCAGCTTCGGGCTCAGTCTCAGCACCATCTCCCGCTACCGCTCTCGGTACGGGTTGTTGAGTCACTGAGTAAACTGGAAATTCCGCATCGTGCAGAGCCAATAAGACACACAACAAGCGCCCCAGTCGCGCAATCCGACTACATGATACCCGTGATTCAGATTAACATATTCATATATTTAGGTTCCCAAACAAAAATATCGCTACAAGTAGAACAAATGCGAGTATGTGGAACCGAAAATTCATTCAAAACTTTAAGGATTCAAGTCTTTGAGATATAGATATGGATATGATATGATATATGATATGATATAGATATGTGTAAATAGTACCATTTGCAACCCCGTGTAGTCAGTCCCATAGACCCCTGGTGCCCTTACCAGCCACACCATTCAGATCGTCTGCTCTTGAGTGAAACCCCCCCACCGTATAATAAACGTGGGTATTGCTATGCAAACAAAAAACGTCTGAGTATTGTTTTTTGCACGAGCACATCACATCTCTCATATTTCAAATGTCCACTCAACAGATCTAACTACACTTCGAATTCGATTGAGACTTGTTTATTTCGCATTAATCTCTTATCTATTCTCTCACTCATCACTCACTCCAGTCCAGTTCTATTGCACTATGTTGCTTTCGATCCATGTAAGGTGCTTGGCAACGTCACAGTATATAACATATTTCCTGAGATCGCAGATCAATCCCTTCCGCGGCGCCAGAGCGACGATGGCCCTGAGTGTCCAGCGGCCGTTGCGCATGATCATCAGACCACCACCAGAGTCGCCCAGGCAGGGTCCGTGGGCATTGCTGTTGCCGGCGCATAGAGTGTTCGGAGTGATGAAGTCCTCCGCACGCTTCATGTCACTTAGGCACTGCTCCCGGGTCACTACGCGGACATTTACGGCCTTGGGGTATCGCGTCTCGACGGCATTTTCGTCTAGGCCCCAGCCGGCCACGGCCCCCATGTCGCCCTCATTGGCTGGCAGTCCCATGCGCGATGTCCACAGGCAGATGGGTCGCACGTAGTTTGTGTATTCAACCTCAGTGTCGAGCACCACGATACCCACGTCCGAGTCGGGCACTGGGTTGCCGTCGTACTGCGATGGCGTGCGCGTACTCGAAGCACGGATCAGTGTGGCTCCGCTCTCGGGATGCGTGTTACGGTCATGACGTCCCACATAGACCCAAAGGTCCAGGGCTTTCTTTCCGTGGATGCAGTGAGCCGCCGTGATCACCGTACGCTTAGACACCAACGATACCACGCAGCTGTACTTCAGCGTTGGGCCGTTGTCTTCGTAGAGGGCACCCAGCCAGGGGAATCGACCTCTGGTTATGACCTCCCCTCCGGCCTGGGCAGCCGCAAAACCTTCCACGCCGCACTCCGCAAAGTCCGGATCAGTTCGTGGGGCGACTGAAGCCTGCGTTCCCGTTCTGGATCTATTAAGGAATGGATTGCTGCCAGTGCTGGTAGGTGCTCGCGAGCTATAAGTGAAGCGCGGGGGCATCGTCACAGGAACACTTGGTCTACTGCCCGTGACAGACGCCTTCCATCCACGTGTCATTGTACTGGAGGGGGCATCATCTGTGACGTCGGAGAATAGGAACAGATCAGCACATGTGTGGAGAAAACCCCATAAATCCTACTTACAATCTGAGGCACTGCAATAGACGTGACCATTGAGCTCCACCTTGATCAGCTTGGGCAGCTCGTTGCCGTAGTTCTGGAAGCTCACAAAGGCCTGCCCCCTACCCCCACTTCGCATCTTTTCGAATGCTTGCTGTTTGTCGGGATACCCGCCCATGCTGCTCACAGTATGCGCCTACGGAATGGAATGATATATGTTGATATTGATAATGGAATTTAGTCATCTGCATACCTGACTAGTGCCGTGCGCCGTGAACACAACGCTCCAATCGAGACTTGTGAGGCCGTCCTGAAGGGGTGTAAAAACACCTATGATTGAACCATCCCCTCGACGCATATAGGTGAACAGGTCCCCGCAATTGTGGGACGGCACCGTCTGTGCCAAGGCCGTTCCCAGACACAGCCCAAGACAAACAAACAGCAGGGGCACCGGTGCTATGGCCATTACGAGAACCGATGTTGATTAGGGTACAGCGCGTACTAACTCTGAAACTGTTGGCTGCACTTACAAAACGACTTTCGCGACTAACGCTTGAACGAGCTTCAATGCACTCTCCATCAGGTCCGTTAGATAGAGAATCATATTAATCTCTCTCCAGCGATTCTTAGCTCTCTCGAGGTTGTAGAACTTCCCGCCGCTGGCCCGCTTGGCAGCGGGCTTTGCCCAGTGCTCATACTCAAATACTCACAGACTAAAATACTCAAATACCAGCGGGGGTCAACTTATTTATATATTCTTATTCAATCAGCTTATCAGGGAAGCTTTGGACTGAGCAAATTCATAGGATTGAGAACACTGGTTCCCGAACTTGTTTCCCCTCCGTTTCGAAATCGAAATTGGTCTCGCTCTGCGAATACGTCAGAGTTGGTCGCCGATCTCCGGAACAGGGTGTTTGCTGTTTAAATGTGTTCCATTATAGATGCGCCTCGATAATGGAAGCCTCCAATATGAGACCCAGTCCAGCCGATTCATGAAGCCATATTGTAAGCCCGTTGATATTTTAAGCAAGCCGGACAGTCAAAATCATTGCATATTGCAGGGACAAACTTAGGTATTGGGATAAACTAATGGAAAGCGGGATAATTGCAGTGACAGGAGCCAATTACAGCCAGAAGAAGCCATCACCAAGGGTTGTAAACACATAATAAAATCAGAATTCAATCGCCAACTTCATTCGAAAATCTTACACTGTCTAGAAAGAAGAAGAAAAACACAACAGTTGGGGAAAATTGTAACCGTGGTTGTAATAATAAGATTTCGCTTTTTTATAACAGCTTTTCATACCCAGAAAATTGACAGAATTCTCAAAATTTATTCGGATTTCCTAGAATGGCAAATGTTCGATATACGGGCCACCAAATCCGATGATGGACCGTCTGAACCTATGTGCAAAAATTATTCGGCGGTCAGATATGAGCTCCATAAAATGCACTCCATTATTAAATGGAAAAATCCAAAAACCCTAAATCCAAAGCGAAAAAAAACGCGAAACAGAAATTTTAGAGCCCGTGGAAATTTCCATAATTATAAAATAATCAGCTTTTGATGAAATATAGACGGTGGTGTCAAAAGTTTTCAAATGCTGTAATTTTATTCAATAGAATGTACTACATACCGCCACATGTAGCACAAAGTATGTATTACATATATATACATGTTTACATTTTGTGTGCGCAAATATGAAATGACTGCCAAATAATTTGTGCACGTAAATTCTTGATAAATTGCGGTCCATCGAGCGTAGAAGCTTACCCAAATTTCTCAGAATTTATTCTACATTTAACATTCACAACTTAATGGTGCTGAAAAGTCACTGTGAATGTGTAGTATTCAGTGTACAATATTGTGAACCAAATGCATGCAAGCCGCAGTAATATTGAAGATAATATTAAAGTGACTGAAGAGTACAATATAAACTCGGGGCTGGTCTGGTGGTTTCTAAAAACCGAAAACCGAATTTCTGGAAATTACGTTAAGTGTACGAAAACTTAGTAGGCAACAAAATGCAAATAAAGGAGCAGCAATGATATAAATTATAAGTAGAATATGCTGTATTGCAATGCATGGTATGTTTTGTGACTTTCGGGTCCTTTTGCGCTCTAACCTTAGGCCCGAGACCGCACGAAAAGAGTCCTTTTATAAATTTGAGTCCTGTGCCCATCTCTAGTTTGCAAATACTTTTTAGAAGAAAACTTGGGGCTCTTATAAGGCAGGACTGCGACTGGGGCAACTTTTAATAACATAATGCAAGGTGGTTTATGCGAATGTCTATTGAAAATGATGCCTGTGTACTTCTGTAAGTAGCGACAACGCACTCGCCCGAAACTTTTGCCAGCGAAACAAAAAAGTAAGGCCAGGAGGAAAAGCGCCTTCGATCCGAGTCCCCCACATCATCCTCGTCCCTACACTCTTAAACTCAATTTTCCCTGGCAGGGTTTCCCAGTTTGCCCTCTTGTTGTTCGCAACTTTTATAATCAGTTCCAAGTTGGCAAAGCTTTGTAATAATTTGTTGAGATTTGGCGCGAAATGTTCGCTGCTTTTTTGTTGGCAAATAAAATTATAAATCGCACCCGGGCACCCGGCTTTGGCAGTTTGACGGAGGCATTTTGACACCACTCGACGGCTGGCTGGCACATTCCCGGCAACATTGAGGTGTGAAGTGCTTCCGGCTCCGGGTCTGGCTCTGGCTGGGGGGCGGAAGTGCGTCCGATTGCACTCGATGTGGGACGCCTAATTGGAGCGAACGCTGCCAGGAAACCGGGGCACTTCAAATCAGAGTCGATTCAAATTAGGAAACCAAGAATCGCCTCCACGAGTGCGTTTGTGTGTAGCTCTAGAGGCGGCGGAGCACGGCATAGGTATCGCAGGTACAAATCCCACGGAACCGCGAAAACATGAACAGGAAAGGCTCGCCACAAGCCTTGAGGATGTGCAGTCTCTTGGCCTGTTTCAGTCCAGAGTACAGAGAGGCATGCAGCTCATCGTGCCAGCTGTTCTCGGCGCTCTCCTCCACCACCAGGGTGTGGAACACACCCAGCAGCTGGAGACACCGCTCCATCTGACTGGTCCGCACCACCGCCAACATTTGAATATACGGCCGGAACTTTATCCAGCGGTGGCAATCTTTCAATTCCACATCCTTGCCCACATCGATGATCATCAGCTTGCACTCGTGGTCGTGAATTTCATCGAGGATTTTCCTCTCCATGGGCAGCACGAAACAAGTTTTCTGCTCGGAAGTCATCTCGAAGTTCAGCTCGTGCTTGGGCGTCTGCATGGTCCAGGGATACTTGCGGTTGGCGAACGCGTACGCCAGTTTCTGGCGGCGCTCCTGCGCCTCCCGCAGATGGTCCACCATCTTGTCCACGCGCCGGATGGCCTGGGAGCCGCGTGGCTTGAAATCGGCATTGACAGCGTCCTGCCTTCCCTCGGTCTCTGCATTGGCCGCCAGTTCTGCCTCCTCCTCGGCGGCTTCCTGTCTCTTGGCAGCTTCGCAGCAGCGCATCTCGTGGGGCGACTCGTAGTCAGGATACCCCGCATCCGCCAGGTAGGAGTGAAAGTGCAGTTCATTGAAGGGTTGGCGGGGCTCAAAAAAGGCAGCTGACTTGCTCTCAATGTGGCACTTATTCTCTTCCAACAGCTGGGGCCACAGGTCGTTAAAGAAGGAGCTGCCCATTGTTTGCTTCGAGGAGTCTTTATGGTGGGTTTCCATTTCGTCCACTTGGAATTTCTATTTGTAATTTTGTGGGATCAAATGTTTACGATATGTGTCTAGCTCGACGGTGGGATTTTGTTTGAGTTTAGTTCTACTTATGTGTTCTACAAGTGTCAGTCTGCTTTAAGGCAGGTGTACACCGAGAAAAACTTCAAGAGGGTATGAAATTTTCACACATTGAGGTGGAATGTAATAGAAGCACGGTCGCCGCACTAACCCAAAGATACTTTCATTAATTATTTGGACAATTTACAAATTTATCCACATATGGTTATGGTTATCCGTTGTTCAATCCTAAATCTCTCAGTGTATGGGCAACAATTCCATTTTATTATCAGTGCATAAATCCCTTGCATGGCCTTCTTCGGATCTTCCCATACATATATTTTCTGTTTGTATTTTGGCTCGATTTATGCACACTCACAGGCAATAACGGTAAGCAAGCATCAGGCATCTACGTCGGCATCGGGAATCGGAATCAGGAAAAACAACAATTTGCGTAAATTTTATGACATTCCCTGTCGTAGGTAGCCGTCGATCGCCATCATTTTATGGTCTAAACCGAGCTGAAACAAGTAAGAACAGAATATCTGATGTATTGAATATAGGATACCCATTACTTGGAGACTTAACCACCTTAAAACATTCGGATGAAAAGGGGGAAAATATTAATTTCTCAATTTAAATTTCTTATTCTTAGCCGATTTCAACCATTATTTAAGTCTCAAGTTTGGTAAGACTTACACGTACACGTATAATACTTATATCCTTGCACTTTATTAGTACTGTGGGGGAGGGCCAAGATTGTTTCGTGTTTGATTTGATGAAAGAGTGCAGGCGCTCTCGAGTGTGCATGCTCGTATATGTACATACATATGTACATGTATTAAATATTCTGTTGTGTGGACGAAAGGGAGAGCTGGCGGGTGGAGATGGCTGTGACAACAACGACGACGAGTTTTCGGGCTCATTAGCTTTTATGGCTTTGATTTTATTGCCGCTGCCGTGGCAGACTTGAATTTCGCCAACGAAATTGTTGCCTATCGCTGGGCGCCTGCACTAATCAAACGGAAAACTCGTGTCTGTGTGTGAGAGTGTGGATGGTTTTAGGAGTGTGCGTTGGGTCTTCCGCGTGTGTGCAATAAATTTTCATAAATCAATTGTGCGTGCCACTTGGCAACGCAAAAGCAACAAAACGCAACCCGAAAAAGGTTTGAATTTAGATTTATGCACACACAAAAAATGAGTGACGAATGCTTTTTTTACGCCTCGATGTTTAACAACTTATTGCAAATTTGATTTGGAAAAACTCTCTACCTCAGAGCTGTGTTGCGGTGTGAAAATTGGAGCAGCAGAGGCACACGTTTTAATTTAATTCCACGGCTCCTCTCCACACATGGGGCAGGATGCGGCCTCGAAGATTTATGGCATCAGGGCTCTGGCAGCTGCTCTGCCAGGCCCGCCATCGAGATATCAAAGTGAAATTTTAAGCTCCCTTTTCGGGAAAATAAAAACTTTAAGTGACCAGAAGCTGGGGGTCTCAAAAAAATTGGCTCTTCTCTTTTTTGGTCTATTAAAACGCGACAACTTTTTGTTTTCCTCTGGCTGCAAGCTACACAAAAACGCTGATGTACTAACATATATACATATGTACACATGATATAAATGTATAAGAATTTATGAGTATATTTATTGTATTTTATTGGGGCACTTAAATAACGACACAGTCGAAAGACTCCCAGAAAATATCGCGAACACAGAAAG